AAAATAATAAAAAATTTAGAGTGACTCTTCTCCTTTTTAGTATTAAGAAAAAAAATCAAAGTATTAATTTCTTTCTTCTTGGCAATCTTATTAATATAAAAAAAGAATAGAAAGATGGAGAGGGAGAGGGGGAGGGGGAGAGGGAGAGAGCTCAATTCTTTTTTTAAAAATTACAAATAAGAAAGAATTAAATACTTTTATTATTTTAAAATTATTTCACTTTTCTGTTTATTACGAAATTCCAATTCTAATCCCGACAACCTTAATGTAATACAATAATGTTAGACTTTTCTTTATTTTCTTTCTTTGCAAAATCTAATTTTCTTTCTTCTTCTTTTCTATCTCTTTTTCTTTTCCTAGTATTAATCAGCATGAAAAAAGAAATTTGAGAAAATCATTTTATTTTTATATTTTTCAATCTCTTAAAGTGAAAAAAATAAGAATAACCGTTCCAACTTTTTTATTTTTAATTAAATATAAAAAGGGTAAATATATTTAAAATTTTTTGACGATACTAGTTAGATTAACGATGAGGTGAAATACCTAGAAAATAATGTTAGGAACTAAAGTGATTGTATCACTATAATCTAAACGAATAAATTGATAATAACAATGTAATAATTACTTAGGAGGTAAACTGATAATAGTGATATAGTTTAAGGAGGTAAAATGATTATAACCTTAAAAATTATAGTTAGTTGATGTAATATGAACTCTTTTATACACCCTTATAAATAAGGGTCACCCTCTCATAGACACAGAACTCAAGATCATTTGAGTAACTAAAAGAATAGTTCTTCTTTCTTATTCATTTTTCTATTTTCCCAAGTTAATCAGCTTATTTCTTATTTATTTTTCTCTTTTGCTAAGTTGATGCCCATTATATAAAACTTGGAGTCCTCCATTAGACCAAAAATAAAAAATTAAAAGTCCTTTTTATGAAGGCATCACATACACTTACTTCAACTTTTGATACCAATGATCTCTTTGGAGTAACAAATACATGTATTTTGATAAAGTTCCCTACGAGAGTAGCTACTATCATTTGTGTAAGAAAGGAACTCTTTTGAGTTTGTCTCGACTTCTGGATTATTTCGATTTTCCTCTGGCCCTTCGGTAGGGGTGGAAACAAGTCTCAACAAATTGGACAGAGGTATGTTCAAGATTAATTTGAAGATTTAAAGGAATGTTTGAATTTGACTTGTGTATGATAATTTTTTGAAAGAAACTGGGCTCAAACATAAAGAATGGTTTGGCTTGTCATAATATTGAGTTCAAACACATACAATTAAAGTTTGGATTGGTTTGAAATTTCATTTTATATTATATAGAGATTTTCACCCAAATTTGTTGTTTTTTTCATTTTATATTAGTTAAGTCAACTTTTACTCTCCAACTATTTTTAAACTTCAAAATATTAACCAAATGTTGCTATATACAATCCAAATACAATTCTTCTCACTGTTAGGTTTAGAGTTCAAATTCTGTAATTGACCATAGGGGTGGGAAGGATTTGGAGAAGGATGGGATGTATAAAAAAAAAAGAAAAAAGAAAAAAAAGCATCAAAATACAAGTGCAACCAATATCTTGCCTAAGAAATTGTGACAACGATTTTGAAGATTAAGATGGGGCGAGTTGAATTTAACCATGTGACAGCCCCACCTCCCCCTAAGGCGAACCAAAAGATTCGGCGGACCGCCTGCCCAACTCTCGCAGGGGCTACGGATCCGGAACGAACGTAAACCCTACCAACCGCTCAAAAGAACTTCGAGAAGATAACATTCATTGTCCGAAACTCAAACAAACACAACAACTTTAGATAACCCTAGAAAAGAACATTTCCAAACCAAACCAACTCATGAACATGGTTAAACACTTTTGTATACACATGGTTGCAAATTTACAATTCAAAAGGGAATTGTTTGGTTAAAATACATTTAAGGTTTTCCAACCAGTGAGGAGCTATACAACAGAATACAAAACTAGCTCAACTCATGTTTGAAAACATCATAGTCTCCAAAAGGTGATTTCCTGTAAGGAAAACAAGGATAATGGAACGGGCTGAGCTAGAAGCTCAATGAGGTACCAAAATATAACAGTAGAAATAATGGGAAAACACTTATGGGACAAATATCCGCATCAAGTAACCAAAATAAACGATCATCACAATTCAAAGGATACAGGTGGCTCTCAGGAGCCAATTCCCCGTTGCAATACTTGATCCAGTCTCGTTGACCCTCCGTCAACGTTCACATAAAGAAACCAGTCCAGTAGAACACCACTTTAACACCAAAATCCCATTCACCAAACATACCCCTTACCGGGCCCGAACGCCAAACAGGAACAGGAATGGTAATACTCGAGTATACCGGAATCAAGAGTCTCAATACCCAAAGATTCCCTAGGAACATGTACCCATGGATTGTCAATTATCTCGACCAAGCCCTTGCTGGCTCGATTTAATTAACTCCCCATGAGGTTGAACTCAAGTTTAACAGGAAGATCGTTGGACACACTTCCAAACGATCTCATAACAAGTGCAAGTAACAAGTCCAAATACAAGTAATAGATTCCAGTTCGTTCAGTACAAGCAAGAGAACGAGTGTGAAAAGTACACCCTCGTCTCATACAAGATAAACAGTCAGGAAAGACATTCAAATAGCAATTTGCAAGTACAGACAACCAGTTTAGTAATAATTCAGGGGAGTGGTGCACTCACCAGTTAAAGCAAGGATACGTCAAAAGTTTCAACCAAGGTAGGGCTCTAATCACCAAGAAACCCTAGAATCAAGAAACCCTAGAATAACCAAGGTAAACAATTATGGCTTCCACAATCACAAATCCAGTAAATGGAATGTATAAACGAGGCTCGACTACATGTCACACGCCTTTCCAAGTTAAGTACTAGTACAAAAGAACAAAATATGACTTTTAAGCAAAAAGGATAACAGTTGGTCCTAGAGTTACAAACAACTCCCAAAACCCATCATTTTTACCAAGATCAACTCAACTTGAAAGAATCACGTAGTCCTAAAATTTTTGGGCAGCATACCCTCTGTATTTACCTGTTTTCCATCCATTTATGGCTTCATTGTTTTCCTCAATCAATCCCAAAATCACACACAAAATAATCTCATTTCAATAGCCGTTCAATAGGCTCAAAGTGGTACAAGTATAAAGTCAAGCTAGGACAATGTCCGGAAATGAAGTTTATGCCCTAAAGCCAAAAGACAGTTTTGACGTCATTTAGTGGAACGGACACAACTGGGGCTACACTTATCGGATTGAGGTGTAATTTACACCGTTTCGAAGCTAAGGAAAAGGGTTACAATGTTGAAGAAGGCCACTCAGTCCAGTTTGCAATGTATCTAGGTCAAATTTACCAAAACAATCCCAGAGTTTCCAATTCGAAGTTTACTGTGGCAGTCCTGATTCATTCAGTTATATCTCAGCATATACAATTCTAATTCAACTGATTCCAAAGCCATTTGGAAGCTAAGATACAAGGCTATAAGTCTAAAGAAGACATAGACAACCAAATCAGTAGTATTCCTGGTCAAAACAACCAATTACAAAAGCTGATTATCAGGTTCGGACAGAAACAGGGCAGCAGGGGTATTTCACTCTTTTCATAGGCTACGTTGCTCCGATTGAGTTGAAATTTTGCAGGCAACTATAAAATATCATTCTCTACAACTTTTATGTTTTAACCGAAGGCTAATTCGGCCTCTAACTGGGAGAAACAGTACCAGGCAGAATGGGGATTAATTGAAACCCTAATTCCAAAATTTCCTTTCAAAGCGAAAATTTTCCGCAAATAGCCACAATTTACGCCTTAAAGCTTCATTCTAAACCATTCCCAACCATCATCCATGGCCACATAATAATAAACATATAAAAACAGAAAAATCATGAATAAAATAAAATTTTCATCAATCTGCATCAAACATCATAAAAGCTTCCACTAAAACATCTTTTTAGCCATCACAAGTCATGAATTCACCATTATTGGAAACAAATAATGAATATTTACACACCATACCTTGATAACTCACAAAAGGTAGTACTTAGGTCTCTTGCTTCCAAAACAACTCCACCAACTTCCTCAATCCTACCTAGTTAGAGGGTTTTATGGAATAATTTCAAGTTTGGATAGTTGGATTGCAAGATTTGTGCAAGAAATGGAAGTTGAAGGTTGAAGCTTTCTTTCTTTTCTCTCCATATGGAATTCGGCCAAGGAGCTTGTAAAGAAAATGAATTTTGGGTCAATTTTTGGTGATTTAGTAAAGGTGATAAAATGGTCAAAGTCCAAGCTCCAATAAAAAAGTGACACCTAGCCCCCTTTTAAGCTTAACCTTATCCTCTTGTCTCTCTAACATTAATCCTTTTAGGTAAGTCCTAATTATCTCTTAGCACCTAGTAATTTAATCCCTGTATACGAAACTTAACCCAATTGGCCGAATTTTATCGAACTTACCGCACTAGTGGGTCCCACATCGGGTATATACTCTTAAAATCTCATAAACTAACTTATACTAGAAAAATACTTTTAAAACCCTATTTACTCATAAAATTATTTAGAAAATTTTTCCTAATAAAAAAAATGCATAAAAGGCGTATAATTAAATAAAATAAAGTCTAGAAAATAAGGAAATTCACGGGTTCTCACAAACCATCTATTTGACTCATGAATAAAATTGATCTTTATTAATTTACTCTTCTTCCTCGGCCTTGCAAAACAAATTTCAACAAAATAATCAAGCTATGGCACTGTCATTTCCCATCTTTGCTTTTTCTTAGGCATTATAAATGGCAACTCTTTAGCTATGACGTCCATATCAACTTATTCATTCATAAAACCCAAGCCAAACTAAATTTCGATTCCCCAAATACATGTAGACTTCAAAATTTAGAAGGTGTCCTCAACCATCTCCACTTTAAATCTCCTCAAGGAAAGAAAGCTCAAAGCATAATTGACTGCTTCAATGCCAGGAAAGCTCTATTGATCACTTCCACACAAGAATCTATTTGTGTCAATACGTTGCAAAGAATTGGTCTTAGAGTTAAATGAAATCAACAGATCGTCCCTCCAGATCAGCCATATCTCTCCATCTCTGAAGACTTTGAGAATCCGAACAACTTCATAGTACTGACCAACCAGATCAATAGGATGCTTATCGATAACAAATTGCTTAAACCATGATTTCTTAAGCCCATATTCTTTCATCACCCAAATGACTATATCGAAGTCTGAAGTGTTGTCACACACACTTAGACGATCTTGGTAAAGTTCCAAGCTAGCAAGATTTAGTTCATCCAATTCAGGAGGAGCTGGAAAGTGCTGAAATGACTCCTTGTCTAGATCAAAACAAGAAATGAATTCCTTTCCATCAGGATCACGAATCCACCAATGAAGATTACCATTCAGAAAAACACCGTGCTCTCGACAAGTATACAGGAATGGAGCATGCCCCGTGTACCTCCAACGTCTTTCTGATCCAAGTGTATAAACATGGCAGTCAGATCTGATTACATGCATCAAATTCTCCTCCAATACTTCTTGGTAAATCCTAACAACTTTGTATTCTCCAGCTTTTGAACTAACCCAAATCCAAAGGTTATCACGTTAGGGAATACCATTACACCTCCAGCACTCTGAACAGTGATGGACTCCTGCGTAGCCGGATTCCATATGTAAACTGTATCCAGAATCTGGTACCCGAATCTTTGAAGGGAAATCAATCCATTGACAGAACCGAACATGGACATACAATTCTCCCCCAGACCTTTCAGTGGTTGCTCGAATTTTGTCCCTGGAACATAGTAAAATCATGGCTGTTAGGCTCGTCTTCAAGTTCCACTAGGTTGAAGGAAGAATTGGAGTGGCTGGTAGTAGGTGGTATTAAGATGCGAAAACTGGAAAATTCGGGTCCTGAAATTAACTTCCGCCAGATCTTACAAGCACAGCGACATCTGGAGAGAGTTTTGGTTGACAATCTCGATAGAATATCGATGATAATATGTGATGGCAGACTCGAGAACTTGTCATCCTCACCATTCACTTGTATTATTTTGTAGTCTTGATTTTTGTGACTCGATCTGCAATTGGACAGTCCCATGAAACCACAAGCAGAGCAGCTCAAAATGGTGATCAAACTTTGTGTTTCAGTTCTTCTTCTTTGATTGAGAGAATCAATTTATAGTGTGCATAGAATAATTTGGAGAATGCATATAAAGGAATTTTCAGTTCTTCTTCTTAGGAGTTTGGACAACTTGCTGTTGAATTAGTCAATAGCGGCTTTTGCCAACCTATATGAAATAAGAATTTTACTTTAGAATACAATAAAGGGGTTGGACTAAAAGATTGCTAGAACAACTTAGAAATGTGGAAGTTAGTTAGGCACTACATAAAGAATACACATCAAGCTTCAATTGAAATAAAACATGTGTCATTCAACTATAGGTAACTATATCAACTACTATAAAAGAGATAAAGGAATACATTTTAATGACATTTTTTCTTTTTAATATAAAGTTTATCTAGTAAGCGCTCCAATCAGCACTTTTCATAAAGCCTCCTTCTTTTTTATTTTTTATTTTTTTGTTTTTTACCTCCCCCATTTCCCTACTCCCTCCTTGTCCCAAAGCTGCCGGTCAGGATTGAACCCTGGTCTATCAGGTAGGAGTTCAATTTCTTAGCCATTAACCTCCATGACTAGTGGTTTCATAGTCTCCTAAATGTTAGCATTTTGAAACAGCATATTTTTCATTTTTCGTTCAGTTCCAGTTTGATGCCTTGTATTCTCTTGCTCTTACATGTTATTTTTATCCGTCAAAATTTGGATTTTGAATATCTCTCTAGACTTCGAAATGCGTAGAGTGATCGAACAAATATCCCTATCTCCACACGATTGTTCCACATTATATATATATATATATATATATATATATATATATATATATGGCTCTATTTGGATTTACTTTTCCAAAAACATGGCTATGATTGGCTCCTATTTCTTAAAATACTTTGTAGTCATAAAAAAACACATTAACATAAACTCTCATCGAAAGAATATTGAAAAATATATAAAAGATCAAAATAAAGTAAAACTCAAATTATCCAAATCACCCACACATTAAAACTACTTTCCCATCAACCATTAAGAAACAGTTCAGTCGATTTCTCTATCTTATGGACAATATTTGTGTAAATCAAAATATCAGAACTAATTTGGTTGAAATTGAATACTTTGTGAACTATTAGTTTTGGCCAAAATACGAAGGACCAAATTGGTCTAAACCCAAAATGCATTTCTCGCCCCCCCCCCCCCCCCCTAAAAACACACAAAAAAAAAAAAAAACCAAACCAAATGAAAATATATACAGACGAAGCATCAAATAATAGGATTACACCTTTTCTTTTCTTTTTTGGATTACAAACTCCTTGGATGGAAGAAAATTAAGAGATTGGCTCACCTTCCAAAAGTTCAAAATGCTAGAGAGGGCCTTATTTGGATTGCAATTTTTAAAGGAAAATTTTCATATTTTATATGAATACATTTTTTAATCATTTTTTTTACCTAATATACATCAAATCGTTACAATATATTTTTCTATAAACACTCAAAAAAATAACAATTCAAACAAGAAATTTGTATTTAATTTGCTTCATGAAAATTAACAATTATGACGTCAGGACCAAGTCCTAAAAGCAACAAATTGTTGATCAAAGAATCGGTCCACCTCATGAAAGATTTTCATATGCACTAGCTATTGTATTGCACTTAGCTACTGATAATGGGAAGCTATCAAACAAAGTCGTATCTCTTCTGAAGTTTCGTGACAAGTAAATAATTAATTTTGTTCCTGGCGCTGCAAAATGACGCTCCACAGCAAGTAACAGCAACGTTACTTGCTGTTCCAGGTCTTTGTTTTATCTAGAATCTCAGTAATAACAAATTAAAAAAAAAAAAAAAAAAAAAAAAAAGAAAGAAAGAAAAGGTCAGCCCGATAGAGCTTAGATTAAACCAGATTTGAAGGGACTTTGGATCTCCTGCGGTTGGACAAAGCAATTGACCAACCTGGATAAATAATTTCATTAACTGTCGAGCTTGTGGACTTGTGGCTGCCCAGTTGGACCAAAAGATTGCTAGAATTTTATGGGCACACAGACAGAAGATAACGGTTCCTTGATAGAGGAATTATTTAAACAGTTTTTTTGGGGGAAAATGGAAGTGAAAAGTGATCCACTTTAGCAATTTCCTACGCGACATGGCTACATGACTCGAAATTAATATGATGGGAACATAAGTAGGTCATTGCTATGTTTTCAGAACCGGACCGGATAGCGACTCGGCCGAGGTCAGGGGTCAGGGGTCAATGGGTTCGACCGGGGGTCGATAGGGGTCGAACCGGATGACGTCATAAATAAAAATTATTTAAAAATTAAAATATTATATATATAATATCTAATAATATATTGATATTAATAAAGGCATATTCATATATATTTGATGTTTCAAATATATTTAACAAGAAAATACAAAGAAATTAGAACAATCAAGTAGCAATTTATATTATTTAATAAATATTAACAAGTTTAGAATTAAAATTATGAATTTAATTGAAAAATAACATCAAATTTTAGGACAATATTTATAAAGTATCAAATATTTGAGCTATATCAATAAGTTTTAACAATTTAGGGGGTCAAAACATAATATTAAAAAGTTTGAATTTTTTTTAAAAAAAATTACTGTTGAACCGGAAAAACCGGTTTTTTCCCGGTCAAACCCGGTTTTTGACCGGCTTTGACCGGATTTTAAATTTCCGGTTTTCTAATGTGACTCGGACCGGCTACCTGGCCGGTTTCCGGTTCGACCGGTTCGACCGGCCGGTCCGGTCCGAGTCTGAAAACAGAGGGTCATTGGATGGATTTGTTAACAATACAGAAATAAGTTGGGTTAAGGTAGTTTGCATGTTGACACGCTAATCTGGTAATAATTGAATGTTACTAAATTGTCCCTCTTAATTTTTTTGATTATTTTTTTATTATGCCGTTCATGCATGTTATATATGGAAGTATTAGACTTCGTTTCTGTTCAAAACTCTAAATTCTCAAGTTTGTTTTTTATTTTGAAGACTTTTTTAGTAAAAAATTTTGAAGACTCTTGAGTATTGTGTTTTATTATATAATATTCTGGTTTTTTTTTTTTTTTGGGTTGAAAGTTGGTATGATTATATAACAAAGCATGTATTCGACGGGCAGTTTACTTTCGGTGAATGGAGTTTTCTAGTTGGGCATTTTGGAAATAATCAAGAAAAACTTACTCTGAAACAAAAGGCATGATTCTAGTAAACTTTTAACAAAAACATTAAGATCAAAATTTTAGCCTATGGATTTGGTTTCTTTGCAATTTCTTTCTTTCTTTTTCTTTTTTAATTCAAGAGATGATTTCAAACCTTACAATGGGAAAAGGAGTGTTAAATCAAGTATCTCATAGTCACGTTATTAATATCCTTACTAACTAAGTTGGATTTTGAAAACCTTCTCAAATTCTTCATTCAATCAAAATTTAGATTTCAATAGCATTAGCCTTTTCTTGAATAAATTAGATTGTCTTACTAGCCTAGCTTAGACTCTTTCCATGATTAGAAACTTAAAGCTAAACAAATTCTCTCATATATCTTAAGTCTGCGGGACAACAATACCAAAAATTTCAAAAAGCTCGCCGGACAAAAACTTTAAAAATAGTTCTTTTCTTAAACTTCAATATCTAATACAATTCATTCATTTAACTTTTTTCCTTTTTAAATTATTATACATTTTCAAGATATTTAATGTGTTTGGTTACACATAGGGCATCAAATAATTAGATGAACGTCTCCATTTATCTTATATATATATAACAAACTACTTTGGATTTTCAGGTGTCTAAATATTTGTTATCTTTGAAAAGTCGAAGCACAATTTTCATTTCTTTTATTTTCCATCTCTTGTTCATTCCAGATCATCTTATTCTAATCTTTCAAAATTTGAATTGCGTAAGGTTCAAAAGTAAATGATTGAACAACAATCACTATGTCCACTCTAGCAATCACTTCAAGAAACAACTAACCATTTTTTAAACCACTAATCGTGGGGTTAGTAGTCAGGAAGTTAAACTCCCACCTAATAGGTCAAAATTCAATCTTGATTAGAGACCATTCAATCTTATTTATTTTGCTTTCTTTTTTCAGATTACAGACTCTTGATTTAGAAGGTTGATTCACATTCCAAAACTTAAAAAAGCACAACTCCCACAAATTTTTTTTTTTTTTTTTTTTTGGATTGTTACTTTGCTTCGCCAAAGGTAACAAAACTATGACGCGAGGACCAAGTCACAGAAGTTATCATCCATTTCAGGGTCGAAGACACAGTCGTCCACTTTAAGAAAAAAGTTTTCATACGTGTTAAATAGCGACCTCCACTTTTGGACCTTAGTTGCAAGTTGCCTTTTGAAGTTTCGTGACAAAATTGTGTTTGGATAGGAGATTATTTGGGATAATTTTTTATAAAATATGCTATAATACTTTTTTAGTGCGATGTAAGTAATATAAAGATAATTAAAAAATATGTTTATAAGACAAGTAGATAAATTTGTGTAAATAATTTACGATCCAAACACGTAAAACAAATTTGAAGGAATATTTCACGGTTAAGTAGACTAATTGAAAATATGGATGGTTCATTAAATATCCAACTTGTGATTGTCCAATTGGACCAAAAGATTGCTAGAATAACAAAAGAAATGGACACAATAAAAGAAACAAATAATTCCTTAATAGAGGATT